AGGCTGATGGAGGGGAGGATGTGGGTAGGCAGGTTGGAGGGCTGGGGGTGATGGCCGGGTCTGAGTCTGGGAGGTGAGAGGGGAGGATGGGTAGCAGGTGGAGGCTGGAGTCGGAGGCGGCCTGAGCTCTTGGGAGGCTGAGGAGGCGAGGTCCCCGCTGGCCGGGGGTGAGGCGCAGTGGTGCTCGACTCGCTGCCACGGGCCGCCCGGCAGCTAGGGCCGGGGCCTCGGCCCTGCCTGCAGGTGGGGGGGTTGGCCGGCCCTGCAGGGATGGGGGCCGAGAGGAGCGTTGAGGGCAGGTGGAGGTTCAAGGTTTGGGATCGGATGGGGCCGGTCTGAGCTCTGGGAGGCTGTAGGAGGGGAGGATGGGCAGGCGGGTTGGAGCTGGTTGAAGTCGGAGCCGGTCTTGGGCTTGCTGGGAGGCTGAGGAGGGAGGAATCGCCATGGGCGGTCGAGGCCTGGGAGTTGTGGAGGCCGCGTCTGCAGCTCTGGGAGGCTGAGAGAGGATGGGGCAGGCGGTTGAGAGCTGGGGAGTGTCGGAGGCCGGTCTTGAGCTCTGGATGGCTTGAGCTGAGGAAGGATGGCGGCGGGTTGAGCTGGAGTCGGGAGGCCGGGTCTGAGCTCTGGGCAGGCTGAGGAGAGGATCCCCAGCGGGCGCGGCTTGGTGGAGGCTGCAGTGGCTGCTCGAACTCGGCTGCACGCCGCGCCGCAGCAGGGCCGGGCCTCGCCTGCCTGCAGGGTGGGGTGTCGGCCGCTCCTGCAGATGGGACCGGGAGGGAGGATTTGAGGCAGGTGAGTCAAGGTTGGGGGAGTCGGGGATGGCCGGTTGAGCTCTGGGAGGCTGAGGGATGGAGGATGGCAGGTGTCTGAGGCTGGGAGTCGGAGGCTGGTCTTTTGAGCTCCTGGGAGGCTAAGAGGGGAGGCATCGCCAGGTCAGGCTGGGAGTTGAGTGGTTTGAGCTCTGGAGGCTTGAGGAGGGTATCGCCAGGCGGGCTGAGGCTGGGATTTCGGAGGCCAGTCTGAGCTTGAAGGGCTGGGAGGGAGGAGGATGCAGGCGGTTGGAGGGCTGGATCGGGAGGCCGGCCTGAGCTCTGGGAGGCTGAGGAGGGTAGGATCCCCATGAGGGGCGGCTGGGTTGAGGCTGCAGTGCTGCTCGACTCGCTCCCTACGCGCCGGCTGCAGGGCCGGGCCTCGCTCTTGCCTGCAGGTGGGTGGGCCGTCCTGCACCGCTGGGGAGGCCAGGAAGGAGGACCAGCAGGTGGAGCGAGGCTGGAGTTGGAGCCGGTTTGAGCTCTGGGAGGCTTGAGGAAGAGGATGGGGCAGGTGGGTTGAGCGGTGGAAGTTGGAGGCCAGTGTGAGCTCTGGAAGCTGGAGGAGTGGATGCCAGGTTGAGGTGGGAGTTGGATGTGGCTCTATGTCTGAGTCTGGGAGCGTGAGGAGGTGGAGGTGGCAGCAGTTGAGCGTGGGAGTTGGAGGCCAGTGCTGAGCTCTGGAGCTGAGGAGGAGGATGGGGCAGGCGCCGGTGAGGGTGGAGTCGGGGGGCTGGCGCTGAGCTCTGGGGAGGCTTGAGGAGGGAGGATCCCACGGGCGGCGCGGTTGAGGCTGCAGTGGGGCTGCTCGACACGCTGCACGGCCGCGGCAGCAGGGCCGGGCTCGGCCCTGGCCTGCAGCGTGGGTGGGCCGCCCTGCAAGATGGTGAGGCCGGCGAGGAGGATCTGCGGCGGGTGAGTCGGAGGGTTGGGGGTCGGGAGGCGGTCTGGAGCTCTGGGAGGCTGAGGAGGAAGATGGGCAGGGGTTCGAAGGACGCGGAGGCGGAGGTCAGCAGCGGAGCGATAGTGGGGGCCGGGGAGAAGAGGATCACGGTGGTCGTGGGTTCGATGCTGATTGGAGCCGTCTGAGCTCTGGTAGCTTGAGGAGGGAGGATCGCATGGTCGACTGGGAGTGTGGAGCCAGTCTGAGTCTGGGAGGCTGAGAAAGAGGATGGGCAGGGCGGATTGAGGCTGGGATGGGTGAAGCGCAGTCTGAGCTCTGGAGGCTGGAGGAGGGAGATGGCAGAGTGGTGTTGAGGCTTCGGAGGTGGAGGCAGTCTGAGCTCTGGAGGCTGAGGGGAGGATCGCCAACGGCGTCGGCTGGAGCTGAGTGCCAGCAGCCGAGCTGAGGAGTGCAGGCTCCGGGAGGAGGATCCACGGCGGGTGTTTGATGCTTGTCAAGTGTGCTGCCTCGACTCGCTCCACGGCCGGCGGCCGCAGGCCGGGCCTTCGCCTGCCTGCAATTGGGTGGGCCGTCTCTGGCACGCTGGGAGGCCCAGGAAGGAGGACCAAGGCAGGTGGAGGCCGAGCTGGAGTTGGAGGCCGGTTTGAGCTCTGGAGGAGCTGAGAAGGAGGATGCGGCAGGCGGTGAGCTCTGGGAGGCTGAGGAAGGAGGATGGGCAGGCGGGTTGAGGCTGGGAGGTGGAGGCCGGTCTGAGCTCTGGGAAGCTGAGGATGGAGGGTCGCCGGTGAGTGAGGCCGAGGCTGGGAGGTGGAGGCCAGTCTGAGCTCTGGGAGGCTGAGAAGGGAGGATGGGCAGGCGGGTCGAGGTTGGGAGGTGGAGGCCGGTTTGAGCTCTGGGAGGCTGAGGAGGGAGGATCGCCAGGGGTCGAGGCGGGGAGGCGGAGGCCAGCAGCCGGAGCGAGAGTGAGGCCCGGGAGGGAGGATCGCCGGCGGCTCGGGTCTGTCCCCGATCGCCACGTGGTGGGGGGAGGGCGAGTCCCGCTCTGCGCCCCCGAACCCCCAAACCCAGGACACGGCTGGTGGGTGTGATGGCAGGGAGGGGCGTGGTCTGCAGGCAGGGGGCGGGGTGGGCGGGGGCCCTGGAGATGGGGGTGGGCGCACGAGTTTGGGGCTGGGAGCTCCAAGATTGGGGACCCAGGAGGGACGAGCTCCAAGATTTTGGGGGGAACCCAGGGAGGGAAAGCTCAAAGTATTTGGGGGACCTGGGGGGAGGAGCTCCGAAGATTGGGGTGAACCGGGGGGGAGGGGCTCAAGACTCTTGGGGGCGACCTGGCGGGGAGGAGCTCCAGATTGGGGGACCCAGATGGGAGGAGCTCCAAGATTTGGGGGAACGCCATAGGGAGGAGCTCCAAGATTTGGAGGACCGAACTAGGAGAGCTCCAAATATTGGGCACCCAACTTAGCAGAAGCTCCAATATTTGGGACCCAATAGGAGAAGCTCCAGAGATTTGGGGAAACCAGATAGAGTGAGCTCCAAGATTTGGGGGAACCCAATAGGGAGGAGCTCCAAGATCTGGGGGGACAGAGGGGGAGGAGCTCCAAGATTTGGGGGACCCGGAGGAAGAGCTCCAAAGATTTGAGGGGGACCCAGGGAGGGAGGACTCCAAAGATTGGGGGGACCCAGGAGAGGAGCCCAAGTTCTGGGGACCCAATCTAGGCGAGGACGCTCCAAGATTGTGCGGCGACCCAACGTAGAGACGAGCTCCCAAGCATCCGTGGGGGACAGAGGGAAGAGCTCCAAGATTTGGGGGGACCCAGGAGGGAGGAGCTCCAAGATTTGGGGGGACCCAGGAGGGAGGAGCTCCAAGATTTGGGGGGTTCAGGGGTGAGCTCCAAGAATTGTGGGGGTATTTGGGGGAAACCTGGCTGGGACTGCTGAGGTTCAGGGGTCACCCCCTCCCCCCTGTCCCTGCCCCCTGACCCGGGGTGACCCCGCGCCCCCTCACCCCCCCCAGTGCCGGCACGACCCCTACCGCCTTCTCCGCTACGACCTGCACGGGCCCTTCCAGAAGGTTCCGGCGCTGATGGTGAAGAAGTTCTCGGTGGTGCAGGGCATGGTCCTGGTGAGCCCCGCCCACGCCCCGCCCCCAGTGACGTCAGGCCCCGCCCACCTCGCGGGGGGTCACGGTGGGGGAGGGTCTGCTCTTTTGGGGTCCCCCTCCCAACCCCCCAAGACCAGAGGCCCAGAGACCAGAAGGCCGAGGCCAAGAGCCTCCAAAACGCAGGGCGAGGCCCGGAGGAGACGGGAATCGGAGGCCAGCGGGCCTCACCTGTCCCAAGGAGGCCGGAGGGACGGGGAGGACCGGGGGGGGGGACAGTCAAGCCCGGAGAACCACGTTTCCCTCCGTCCCCACCCCGATTTCCACCGACTTGACCCCAAAACAAGCCTGGCTCACTGCCTGCCTGCCGTCCCTGCGCTCTGGGAGGCCCAGGAGGGAGGATCGAGGGTCGAGGTCCGGGGAGGTTGGAGGCCAGAAAGAGCCAAGAGCGAGAGACTCCCTCCGCCGTCTCTACTAAAAACAGAAAGAAATTAATCGGCCAACTAAAAATATATAGAAAAAAATAATTAGCCGGGCGCGGAGGCGCACGCCTGTCATCCCAGCGCTCTGGGAGGCCGAGGCGGGAGGATCGCTCGAGGTCGGGAGGTCGAGGCCAGAAAGAGCAAGAGCCAGACCCCCGTCTCTACTAAAAACAGAAAGAAATTAATCGGCCAACTAAAAATATATAGAAAAAACGAGCCGGGCGTGGAGGCGCACGCCTGTCGTCCCAGCTACTCTGGGAGGGAGGCCGAGGCGGGAGGCTCGCTCGAGGCCAGGAGTCGGAGGCTGCTGCCGGGCGAAGGCTGACGCCACAGCGCTCTAGGGCGTTGTCGTAAAAAAAAAAAAAGAAAGAAATTTCCGGACAGGGGTGTCCGTGTTTTCTGGGAATGGGGTGCTTGAACCCCGGCCTCCAGGGGCCTCCCCTGACGAGGCTGCCTCCCCCCCCGCCCCGCAGATGTTCGCGGGGGGCAGGCTGCTGTTCGGGGGCTGCGTCCTCAACGGCTACGGCTTCAGCAAGCAGAACCTGCTGAAACAGATCTCCCGGGCCCGGCAGGACTGCGAGAATGGCTACTTCCTGCCCGAGGACTACAAGTTCAAGTGAGGCCGGAGGCCCGCGGGGGAGGCCGGCCTCGCCGGGAAGGGACGGAAAGGGGGAGGACGGGACGTGGCATCGGCGAGGTTGGCTTGAGCCTCCTCCGGTCCAGGCTGATGAGCCGACCTGCTGAGCCTTTTCCCTCGGCCGGGATCCCCGAATAATGAGCATGAGGCTGGGTTCAGCCTCCCTGGAGGCTGGTGAACCGACCTGCTGAGCCTTTTCCCTGGGCCGGGATTCCTGGAAAATGGGCTCGAGGCTGGGTTCGGCCTCCATGGAGAATGATGAACCGACCCACTGAGCATTTTCCCGGGCCCGGCTCCCCGAAAAATGAGCATGAGGCTGGGTTCGGCCTCCCTGGAGGCTGATGAGCCGACCCGCTGAGCCTTTTCCCTGGGCCGGGATCCCCGGAAAATGGGCTCGAGGCTGGGTTCGGCCTCCATGGAGAATGATGAACCGACCCGCTGAGCATTTTCCCGGGCCCGGCTCCCCGAAAAATGAGCATGAGGCTGGGTTCGGCCTCCATGGAGGCTGATGAACCGACCTGCTGAGCTTTTTCCCGGGCTCGGCTCCCTGAAAAATGGGCTCAAGGCTGGGTTGAGCCTCCCTGGAGGCTGATGAACCGACCTGCTGAGCCTTTTCTCGGGGCTCGGCTCCCTGAAAAATGAGCATGAGGCTGGGTTCAGCCTCCCTGGAGGCTGATGAGCCGACCTGCTGAGCCTTTTCCCGGGCCGGGATCCCCGAAAAATGGGCTCGAGGCTGGGTTGAGCCTCCCTGGAGGCTGATAAACCGACCCGCTGAGGATTTCCCTGGGCCGGGATCCCCGGAAAATGGGCTCGAGGCTGGGTTCAGCCTCCCTGGAGGCTGATAAACTGACCCACTGAGGATTTCCCTGGGCCGGGATCCCCGGAAAATGGGCTCGAGGCTGGGTTCGGCCTCCCTGGAGGCTGATGAACCGACCTGCTGAGCCTTTTCCCGGGCCCGGCTCCCCGAAAAATGGGCACGAGCTGGTCAAGCCTCCCGCCTCGGCCTCCCCTCGAGTAGCTGGGACTACCTGGCT